AGAGTTAGAGAGAAGGAAACCCACCTTCAGAAGTGTATAGACCTAGATGGAGGGAAGATCTGTTGAGAAACAAGCTTCATGGTTGGATATTTTTGTTTAATCAGCTTTTGATGATTTTTGTAGCAATCCTTTTTGACTTACCCTGATATAATACAGTGAATTAAGAATGTGCAACAATGCAGTCTCCTTCTTGGCATCTCCCTCTTGCAGGAAAGAAGGTAAAGGGCCCTGGTGGCACAGTGATTAAAGCACTCTGCTGCTAATGGTGGTCTGAACCCACTAGCTGCTCTGTGGGAGAAAGATGTGCCAGTCGCTTCGGTAAGAATCACTGCTGTTGTTAAGTGTTATCGAGCTGGTTCCAATGCATAGCGACCTTGTATGGGATTTCTGAGGAGTGGCTGGTGAGCTTGAACTGCCAACCTTGTGGTTCAAACTGACTTTGCAGTCCAGCGCATTAATCCACAGTGCCACACCAGGACTCCTTGAACATCCTATGGGGGCGTTCTAGTCTATCCTAAAGGGTCGTTATGAGTGGACTTGACTTGGTGGCAGTGGGTTTGGTTTTAGTTTGGGAAAGAACATGATAACAGGGAAGGAAGTGGGGCTAGGAGGCTTGTCGGATGTGTAAGCCCACGGAGGTTTCCCCCTTTGGTTACTGAGTGACAGCTTAGCACTTCTGGCTGCTGACTTCCTCACGACCCAAGTGCCAGTTACAGGGCACAGAGAGATGAGAACAGATTGAAGGCTCAGGACTATCACCCACCTGTCAGTTTGTTGTGCTGCGGCAGCTTGTGTATTGCTCTGGTGCTGAAGCTAAACCACTGCTATTCCAAACACCAGCAAGGCTATCCATGGTGTGTCCTGTTGGCTTCTGCAGAGCTTCCAAGACAGAACTTGGAAGAAAGGGCTGGTGATCTACTTAAGAACATTAGCTAAGGAAAAGCCTATGGGTCGTACCAGAACACTGACCAGTACAGTGCTGGAAGATGAGCCCCCCAAGCCGGAAGGCACTCAGAATACACAGTGGCTTCAACTGTGGACTCGAGCAAATCAATGGCTGTGAGATGGCACACGACCTGCCGATGTTTCATTCTGTTAGACAAACATGGGTCCTCTTCATGGGCTGGAGCCCACTCAATAACAACTAACAACAAGGCAAGGGAAGCACCTCCGTGGATGAGCTTCAGACCTGCTCCATCGCCCCCCTCTATTGGTTTTGGACTAGCCACTCTGTCTTCTTCTGACTGTGACTGTGGGGACAAGCAGTGGCCCCATCTCACTGGAGGTTATTATGTAGCTTTCCCCCAGACCTCAGCAGGAAATCAGTTCTCCCTTGCATGTTCTTTTCTCTGACGTTTACTGCTAAACACTAGCAATCATCTGAGAATTGGATTTTCATGAAAGACAGTCAGGCAGGACTAGGCAATTTCCACTACCTCCTCTGCCATCCATCTTCAAACTTGACCTACCCATACTCAGAAATTATGATTTTTTGTTTATACATATTTGTAAATTAGCTAAAACTCACAGGAAGGACTAAGATTAGTTTCTATCTATGACCCAACTACCAATGAGAGATTCTCTAAAATATCAGATAAACTTACCTAGAAACAATTGAATGTAAAGAACAAAACCACAAATTAGCCAATGTGCCTTCTTAGTTTATTTCATTTCTCTATAACTTCCTTCCTTTCTTTTTTCTTAACAGATCCACAACTTAGTCATTTATTTATTTTTCTGTAAGTTTAAATCCTTGAGGGATACAGAATCACACAGACTCTGGGTCCAATGGCCTTAGCAGGAAGGTTGCTAGAGAATTTGGTACGAACCATGCCACTGCTTCCATGGGGTATGAGTTACCTTTCCCAGATGACGCTGGTTTTGTTAGGTTTGCTTCCAGGAGTCACTGTGTTGTTCTTTAGTTTGTACACATAAGCACATCTCTTGCCTAAATAGAATTCGGTCTCATCTTGAGCATTTTTGTTGTTGTTAGGCGCCACTGAGTCGGTACCAACTCACAGTGTCCCGATACACAGTAGAATGAAACACTGCCTGGTCCCATGCCAACCTCACAATTGTTGCTATACTTGAGTCCTTTGTGCTGCTACTGTGCCAATCCATCTTGTTGGGCGTCTTCTTTTTTTTCTTGGACCTTCCACTTTACCAAGCATGCTGTCCTTCTCCAGGGACCTGTCCCTTCTGATAATATGTCTGAAGTATGAGAGATGAAGTCTGGCTATCCTAGCTTCTAAGGAGCATTCTCGCTGTACTTATTCTAACATAGATTTGTTTGTTCTTTTGGCAGTCTAGTTTACGTTCAATATTCTTCTCCAACACCATAACTCAAATGCAAATTCTTCTACAGTCTTCCATATTCTCTGTACAACTTTCACATGCACATGAAGTTACTGAAAATACCATGACTTGGGTCAAGAGTACCTTAGTCCTCAAACTGACATCTTTGCTCTTGAATACTTTAAAAGAGGTCTTGTGCAGTACATTTGCCTAATGCAAATGCTGTTTGATTTCTTGACAGCTGCTTCCATGAGTGTTTGATGGTTGATTTGAGCAAAATGAAGTCTTTGACAACTTCAATCCTTTCTCCATTTATCTTGATGATGATTATTGGTCCAGTGGCAAAGATTTTCTTTACAGGTGCAAAACATATCAAAAACTGTGGTCTCCGATCTTCATCACTAAGTATTTTAAGTCTTCTTTGCTTTCGGCAAGCAAGGCTGTATCATCTGCATACCACGGTTGTTATAGAGTCTTCCTCCAACCCTGATGCCATATTTTTCTTCATATTAATCCAGCTTCTTGGATTACGTTCACAAGCATACAGATTGAATAAGTATAGCGAAAGAATACAACCCTGGTGCACACCTTTCCTTTTAAACCATTCAGCAGTCCTTTGTTCTGTTTGAACAACTGTCTCTTGGTCTATGTACAGGTTTCTCATGAGCACAATTAAGTGTCCTAGAATATTCATTCTCAGCAATGTTGTCTATAGTCTGTCATGATCCAAACAGTCAAAAGCCTTTGCATAGTCAATAAAGCACAGGCAAACATCTTTCTGGAACTTGCTGCTCTCAGCCAAGATCCATCTGAT